GCACATTGACAGAGTTGCGGTCGTTCCTAGGCTTAGCTAACTACTATAGGAAGTTCGTAAGGAACTTCTCTACTATCGCCGCTCCCTTGCGCAGGTTGCTGAAGAAAGAGGCAATCTGGCAATGGGACAAAGACTGTACGTCTGCGCTCAAGAAGCTAAAGCGCGCGTTAGTAGAATATCCTGTCCTCAAAGTTGCAGATCCGTCTTTGCCATTTGTCGTCACCACGGACGCGAGTCAGTATGGGATAGGCGCCGTGTTGCAGCAAGACGATGGCAATGGCTATAGACCCGTAGAGTTCATGTCAGCGAGGATGCCCTGTGAGAAGGTCCGCTACCTCCACGTATGAGAGAGAACTCTACGCTCTCAGGCAGGCTTTAGACCATTGGAAGCATTACCTGCTTGGGAGGCACTTCGGACCATGAAACGCTTAGATGGCTAAAGACCCAGGCCAAGATGACACCTAAGTTGACTAGGTGGGCCGCAGAGATAGACCAATTTGACTTTGAGCTCAAGCCAGTGAAGGGCAAGTACAATGTAGTGGCGGATGCTCTAAGTAGGAGATCAGACTACTTTGGAGCCGTAGTACATTATCTGGATATAGGGAGAGACCTGCAGGAGAAAGTGAAACAAGCGTATACGCAGGACCCTATCTATAACGACCTCCTAAAGAGAGTTAGAGAGACCCCAGAGACCGAACCAGATTACCGCACTACAGACGGATTGCTGTTTGAGAAGACTAATGTGTTTRACCGCCTGTGCGTTCCCAACAGCGAAGAGATTCGTAGTCTAATTCTAGGGGAATGTCACGATACTGAGGGACACTTCGTTTGGCAAAAGACATTAGCCAATCTGATGCGTGCGTACACATGGCCAGGGATGAAGAATGACTGCATAGAGTATGTCCACAGTTGTAAAGTGTGGCAGAGAAATAAGTCTACTACACGCGCGCCCTTAGGTCTTCTCAGGCCCTTGCCTATTCCGGATCAGCCGGGAGACTCAGTGTCTATAGACTTCATGGACACGCAAGTCAAGAGTAGACATGGTAAGAGCCTAGTCATGGTCATAGTCGACCGTTTCAGTAAGTATGCAGTTTTTGTTCCCTTGCCTGCAGAGGCACGTACAGATTTAGTAATACAGAAGTTTTTTGACTTTTGGGTTAGTGAGAATGGAATCCCATTGTCAATTGTTAGTGATAGAGATAGTCGCTTCACCAGCCAGAACTGGCAAGAACTCGTGAGAGTTTACGGATCTAAGTTGTTAATGTCATCTGGCCGTCACCCAGAGACTAACGGTCAGACAGAACAGATGAACAAGATCCTACAGCAAGTTCTGCGCATGTACATTAGACCAGATCAGATTAACTGGGATGAGATGTTGCCTAAAGTAGCCAGTGCATACAACAACAGCATGCATCTATCGACCTGCCGCACTCCCAATGAGTTGCACAAGTCCTTTAGACCACGCAGACCGTTCGAAGGACTGAACCGGGATCAGATTCACAGACTACCGCCCGGAACCAGGGAGTTTGCTTTGCAGCATGAGAAAGAGTTAGCAACTGTTGTTGAGAACCTCAGAAAGACCCAACATAGAATGATAGAGCAGGCTAACAAACACCGTAGCCCATCACAGTTTCAAGTTGGCGACTTAGTCTGTGTCAAGTCTAAAGAGTTTGCACCTGAGGAGCACATCTCGCAGAAGTTATTGCCTGCCTATAGAGGACCGTGGCCGGTATTAGAAGTCAAAGGCGGAGAGAATGGACCGTCCTATACTATAGA